GCACTAGAATTGCAAATTCGACATCTGTCAACACATTATGCGATTGCAGTTACAAACAAAGTATTTTATTCTTTATTTTCTTTTTTTGACATGCTTGTGCCGCAAGAATGGAAGATCTCGCTTACTCTTTAGAAGAAAAAGAGAATGGAGATTTGAGAAATTCTCTTAGGTTTCTATAATGCATTGGTGCCTCTACAAAAAACGTCATCATGGTAAACACATTAATTAACCATTATGGTAATGAGCAAAACTGATACACCATACATTCGTTGTTGTCGATATCTAAACAAAAGCCATTTAAAAGCACTGTGTGCTCTGACAATTATCAAAGATTTAAGCCATCAAACAATATCTTCCCTAAAACTGGGTGCTTGCTTGCCAGCTGAGGAATCAGTATTTTATTAATTTATCATCACTTTTGGACATGAATTTGTATGCATAGAATAATCACATTCTGTATAAGTTTCAAAAAGCGGAGCGCTAATGAAATTTGGCACAACGTGGAGATTACTATTAGTTCCATCATTTATGCCGGCTTCTAAATCAGTATGAAAATGCTTATTATTATGGGCGCATATTAGTGGATTCTTGACATTCTAAGGTCCTGACAAAATTCAGTTTCCATTTTCTATCCGTTGCTTATAACCTATTTGGTAGTATTTTTGACTACTGCCTCGTGGCTTGATTGGCTTCATTAATAGGAAGAAGAATTTCGGGAAGAATGGATTTATCCTGTGTTTGTTTGCACTGATCCGAAATCTGATGCTTCAGACTTCAGCGCAATCGTAATCGAAGACTCTCGTAAGTTTTGTTGTCGAAGCTATCGACATAAGTTATATAAAGAAACGTCAAAATATGACTCTTTTAGGAGAACCTTACTTCCCATTTCTTATCGTCATTTACTTTGTGTTTCTATTTCTGAGCGCGCTCTTCACTGGTCTAAACCTTTCCTTGATGTCCTTGGATATGGAAGACCTTCGCGTAACGACAAAGTTCATGAGCGTTAGGCTTTCAATAAAAGGCATTTCTTTCAGCGAATAAGGGAGTATGACGAGAATCCTAAGACTCGTCGCTATGCGGCGAATATAATTCCCATTCGAGAAAATGGGAACTTTATGCTGTGCACCATCATTCTTGGTATGATCCTAGTACAACGTGTTGTAGCAGCCTAGCGTACTTTATAGGTAACACTATCTGCAATACAATAGACGTGCTAACATTCGATAGGATCACCCACAACCTGGATTTCGTTGAGTGGCAACGAATTCTCCTGGTGGAAGTCGTGCCATCGCTATTTATCATAATTTTCTCTGAAATCATTCCGCAGGTTATCTGTACTAAGTCAGTAAACTAAATGAATTCTAACAAGAGTGTGAGGATTTAATATTCGTTCAGATATGCTCTACCGATTGGAAGTCGTTGTCGACGATTGATGGTATTTTTCATGGTCCTCACATATCCAGTTAGCTATCCTTTATCATTGTTCCTTGATTGGGTAGTGGGAAAAGGTAAGCCCTGTCAAATATAAGATACTAACTTGCATATCTTTCTACACGACTGCTTTAAAGTAGTCAGTAGTTCTCTGCATTTCCAAACTTTTTTTGTAAAGGACACAGTTCAGCTGTTAAGTTTCTCAGCATAAAAATTATGTTTTAGTAAAAAAAGAACTATCATACTCCTATTCAACATGTAGACACACCTTTATATTAATTGGTAGTGGTTAAGAATAGAAAATATGAATAACCAAAATATTAAAAAGTACAGAATATAGTTTCGAGTGAAAATCATGTTCATTTCAGCATGTTAACAAACCATTCACCGATTTTCAGTAGTTCAAAGCGAAAAGATCGATGAAAGTAAAATATACTGTAAACCTTTCAATGCTTATCAACTTGTAATCAACATATCAGTTGACCCCAGTACACTAATACACAGCTCCTCAAAGCAAAAATTGCGAAAATAAATAAAGCAATAATCAGTCGATATCAAATTTATAATCGGCTATCAAATTACCCCAATCCATCAACCCCTGCTCCTTTAAGCAAAATCTGCGGGTAACAATAAATCAACAGATTCAGTCGATAAATCTTTAATTGGTTATCATATTTGTATTACTTCAATCTAGAGCGAAAACTGCAAAAAACCAATAAGTCGACAGAATCAGTCGATATTTTCCTGCATAAAGTGGCCTAGGTTAGCGCAGTGCTCAAAAGTCTGTGTGAGAAAAGTTTGGTCTGGATCAGCTTAGACAGAGATTTGTATTCGGAACACAAAACCATACATACATGCACACACACGTACATGCAAATATATATATATATATATATACAATTATACAAACAGACCTTGTGCTTTTTATAATGAAGTTATATATAAATCAAAGAGTGCACATAACATTTTCAAAGCATATCGTTTTGTAAGTCGTGCACCATTGCTACGCTTTGTGTAGGTAAGTGGTAGGCAGATAAGTTAGGGCGACTGGAAAGGGTAAGGAGCTATGAGAAGCGTAGCGATGATGATCAAAGAAGGAAAAGACATGCGTAGATTTGTTGTTCACCATGTCCTAGCGAATATACACTTAAAAGTGAATCCAAAATTTAAACTAGTTTTGTTAGGAATTTTCGGACCACTTTCTACAGATATCACATTTTCAAAGCACCACTCTTTTGTTTGGGGTTTCATTACCTTACATTACATTAGTCGTTCACGTAGTCGCCGCCCTTGCATACTTGTTTTTTATATCAGCATGCTTGGAGACCACTGGACCACAGTGAATACATGAATACTATTTTATTGCATGTGTCTATAGAAGTTGTGTTGATCTGCCTTTCAAAAAATCGTCTATGTGTCCTAAGGGAGGCAAGAACACCCGCTAATCATTATCG